TATCCTTTTATATTATTTCAAATGTTAATATATCATTCATATTTGCTTATTATTATTTGGTGGAGGCAGTATAACCTTAGTCTGGTTATATCATAGGTTGGTACAGAATGGTATACTATCATTATTATATATATATATATTTTTTTATTGTTTTTATATATACAAATGTATATATATATATATATATATATATAGTATATATATATATATACTATAAATGTATATATATATATATATATATATATAATATTATATATATTTATATACTATATATACTATATATATATATATATATATATATATATATATATATATATATATATATATATATATATTATATATATATATATATATATATATATATATATATATATATATATATATATATATATATTATATATTATATATATATATATATATACACAAATGTATATATATAATAGTACTATTCTTATCTAATATAATTATGCTCATATTTTGTCTTTTTATAAACAGCTGGCTAAGAATGATATTGGAGGCATTCCTTTAGGAATGTCATATTCATGTAGTGAGAAGACATATTTGAAGAACAACAGCACTACCAAATCAATCATGATGGTTCTTGATGGCTTTCAGGTATGTGTGATCTGGAAAAATATTTTGCATTAAAAAAAAGAAAAGTTGAAACAAAATGATTGAATGCTTGTGATGAAAATACTGATTTCTCTTTTGATTTACAAAAATCAAAAGATTTATAAGTGCTAGGGAAATTTATGTTCTGGCAGTACCCAATACTACATAAGAAATGTTTTTTTTTTTTTTTTTTTTTTTTGCTATTAAATTGATGCAGTTGGACTTAACACTACCACAGCTTTCAACTCTGTCATTCATATTAACCCTTCAATGCATAAAAGCCCAGCTTCTCTGCTAAAGATCCAGTTTTCTCTGTGTAATGCTAAACTGATACTTACCCTTATATGGTGTTTCTATAATACTACAAGCTTATATGAGGGGGTAGGTCATGTAATATTATGCTTTCAGGTACTCTGTGTGACAGGGTACAAAACATATAGGCTGTTTTTTTTCTCAGGGAATACCTATGATACATGCTATGAAACTTTCTCTGCCATGCGGGGTTAACTGGCTATGACTGGAATGAAATATCAAAATAACATAAAATTGCACATTTTGATGAATAAAGAAATCCATGAAATTATATTACTAAAGATTAAGTATAATGTGAGGTATTTTTTTAAAAGAGGGAGAGGGAGAGAGATAATCTATATTTCTCAGCCTATATCTAGATATATAGATATTTAGATAATTAGATATAGATATCTAGATGTAGATTTAACCATATATTCAAAACCACAGAATTATTAAAATTAATTCATTGATATTTAATTTTATATGATGCATATAAACACAAGATAACTAAAATTAATATATTCATCACATGGCTAACTGCATGAATCATTTGTGTTGTTTCCTTGATATACTAGCAGAAAGTAAATATAAAGGATTGTAGTACAATTAACAGTGAAACAAAAGCTAATTATCATTAGGAACTAGTTAGTTTTCAAAATCAGCTATAAAATGTATCCTATCTTTTCAGGTTCAGCCATTCAACTCCAGTCAGACAAAGTTCAGTGGGTCTTGGGACTGTGTTGGGTTCTTTACTGTACCCATCTGGTGTGCTCTGTTAGTGACACTGCTCCTGCTGTTCATCCTGTTCTCTGGAATGTACATGCTGAGCGACATTAAAACCATGGATCGCTTTGATGACCCCAAGGGAAAGCCTATCATGGTTGCTACAGCTGATTAAATTCAGTATATAAGAGATGATACTTGTATGCTCTTTTTTGCTGCCAGAATAATGTAGTCCCCTATACATTTGAAAAAAAAGTTAAATTCAGTCTTTGTTTGAGCTAGATGTTTCATGAATAAATAATGTAATTGAATATACGAGGGCTGGCAAGGTATCAATCAGATTTACTAAACCATTTTATAACAGCAGGTTAAACAGTTTATTGCATATGTTAGTTTGTACACTTGTTTATTTAAAGTCTGTGAATGGTAAATGCAGTAGAGTGGGTTTTATACCTTTCACTTTATAATTAGGCATAAATTTAAAAGTATTTATGAATATTTATTTCAGCAAAAACAAATCTTACTTGTATGGTTTAACCGGCCAGTTCTTGTACAATAGAATTGATCATGACCATAAATGATATAGTGATTTAGTGACTTAACCTTAGATATGAAATTCCATATTTGCATGTAGGGGAAATGGATGTGGATGTTTGTGGGTGTGTTTACCATTTCAATAATATGAGGATAATGAATTATTCAAAAGTATTCAGAACAAGCATTATTAGAGACATGGCAATTTTTTTTCCCAAGTTTGGTAATGTAGAGCTGGTTATCAAATTATTGATATCAATATAATATTGTTAAATTAAAGTTATTCTTCGAAGAGTATCTGTTTTCTAGAAAGATTTTTATAGATTTCTAGGTGTCCTAAATTACATGAAGCTAATTACATATGCACAAAGACAGTAGGTGTTAAAAAATAAACAGAATGAAAAATAGCACTTGATGTGATTATCAGGTTGTAAGTGTTGCTTTACTATTTTGGTTGAATGTCTTTAATAGTGGAATAGAGTAATTCTGAAATTTGAAGAAATATTTTCAACATTAATGCTTTGCTGGACGAAATTAAATTCATAGCGTGATCCTGCAAGTAGTAATCTAAATGATTATGAACATGATACTCCTCTTCTTTGTGTGGCTGGTAGTCTATGATCATGTAAATATATTCAAATTATAGTGTATATATAGTCCCAGGATTTCATTTTTCTCCTTAAGAAATGTAAGTTATACTAAGAGGATGTGTAAAGAAAATATGTATGAGGAAACAAAGTATTAATATGCACTACATTCCATACAATCTTGACTGTTATAATGTGCACAATTATTAGCTTGTCTGTATTGTGTTATACTGTGTATTATATGTACTGTACAGTTGTGTTTTAAATTAAAGGTATTATGGATAATGTCCTTTTTTTTACCCCTCAGATGATTATTGGATAGTAAGCAAGTAAGGAATTGAAGTTAAGGAGATTTTTTTTTTTTTTTTTTTTTATAAGGATATATATATTCTGAATTACTGCCTCACAGCTTTAGTTGCTTACCATATCTATTGCAAAAAGGCTTTACTTAAACCAAAGAAGCTATTTTTTTTTCTTGGCCACAATTTTTAAAATACAATTATCCCCCAAATTCCTTGCTTGTTGTCTTGGGGGGGTTATCCAGCCAATGTAGGAGATTACCCCTAATTTTGCCTCAACTAATTTTGCATGGTATTTTCTTCTCACCCTTTCATTTCCCTTCTCTATCCTTTCTTCTGTCCACTTCCTAAGGTGTGAGAGCCATGCTGAAAGGATGAAAGGCAGGCTTTGTCAATCATGAACAGCCTCCGGTATTCCCTTGTTTAATTATCTAGCCCTTAACCTTTGTAGGGACCTTGAGGGGTAGACCATTTCTTTTCTATACGTGTTTCAGGCTCATCATGGTTACTAATGAAGATTTTTTATCCTTATTAGGGCCTTATTAGGGGCATTAAGGCTTGCTCCATCAACTAGCCTATCCAAATTTGATTTCATTGGTTTCCTGACCCCTACCTCTTCTTTGACCATGGCTCCGACCACTGATTCTAATATCCCCTCCTTGATGGTTACTGATATCTCTATCCATTCCAAACCACCCAGCCAGATTATTTACTCAACCATCAGAATGCACATCTTTCTCTCTCCAAACATTCTTCACTCCATCTCCTACTGCAGTCTTCTTCATTGTCTGCTCTCCCTTTATTACTATTCTTTATAGAAGAAAAACCCGCAATGCACAAACTAGATTTTTTGAGGAAAGTGAGACAACAGTTTTGGAATCGTCCTCGATTCCATCTTCGGGTCTGAAGAGGCAAGGGAGAGTAAGCGGTAAAAGATCCAGGGGACATAGCAACAACGACCTCTTCTGCCATCAGTGGGACACTGGCCATCAGATGGACTGGAAAGCAGCACGCATTCTCTTCCCCTCCGCTGATGTCCATGCCCGCAGACTGGTGGAATCTTCTCTGATTAAGCTGCTGCCCAATTTCAACTTGAACAGCGGTTTCTCTCCTGCCGACAGCCTTCTCGCTTCCCACATCCTTCGTCTCCTCCCTTATGCCGGTCACCCGTCACATAGACCGCCTGATCCTTAGACCTGATCTGACCTCCCTTCACTTCCGTTCTTCTGTCCTCACCTGCCCTGTGGTTCCCGAGTGCTTCTCCTCCTTTCCCTCTTATACCGCTTACTCTCCCTTGCCTCTTCAGACCCTGAGATGGAATTGAGGACGATTCCAAAACTGTTGTCTCACTTTCCTCAATAAATCTAGTTTGTGCATTGTGGGTTTTTCTTCCATATTATCAACACAGTATTGTGTTTTTCATTGCACTATTCTTTATCCTTATTGTCCTCCTCCCCACAGTATTACCTTACTCCACACCACCCTATCTTCCTCCTGCCCTCGTCATTCTACTGCTTCCACCTTTGCAAACCTTTTGAGTACTCTCTTTGGCTCAGCCACGTTGAATCAATACTTTGTGATTCCCTTCCAGAAACTCTTGAAGATATCCACAGCTTCCTAAACATGACCCAAGAAAACACTCCACTCCCTCATCCACCCACCAATCTCTCTATTCCCACTATTCCCCCTATATTTAAAGTAATTGGTGGTATCCATCATCATCCTCAAGTTCCCCACTTCCTCCTATTCTCTCCCAACACACACCATCCTCCCCTTCTCCATATGCATATGCTATCCCCTCTGTACCCCTTTTCATTGCCATACTATCTATAGCACTCTACAACCTTTGACATCTAATAAATTTTATCTTAATTGTTAACTAATTTTTTCCGTTTTCAACACAATACTTTACCATAGTGCTATTTGACCTTTGAAGTCTAGAACTTTACTTTTTCAATCATTTATTCACAATAAGAAGCTATGAACTAATTTATAATAAACAGTAAGTAAACAATCTGCATCTTCAGTATATTTTAGTACATCAAAATAAGGTATTCTTAAGTAAGTGACAAATGGAGGCCTCACCCCTTAGCTCAACAAACTTTGCAGTCTTTTCTTTTCTCCCCTTCCTTTTCCTTCTCTTCTCTAACCTTGTCTTCTCTCCACTTTCTAGGAAGTGAGAGCCATGTTGAGAGGATAAGTGGCTGCTAATGATCCTCAACCTTTGGGACCTAGCAAAGCCCCAAAGGAAGTTGTTCTCATTATTGGTAAATACTCATGAGCAAGAGGGTCAACGTAAATCTTGTAGCTAGCTTGCTTATATAGAAGCCAACCAGTACAACACATAATGTAAACCTAACTGGGAACAGTTTTCTGCTGTGGAAATGAGTTTGACATAGGACATGGTGCTCATGGTGATAGGAGTGTACACAGGACATGAAGCCGAATGAATCCGTCTCAATACCATCATACTTCAATTACCAAAGGCAGAGCCACTGGAAAAGGTGTTCATTAATGTAGCACAATTAGTGAAAAGTGTAATCATTGCAAGGTCTTCTTATCTATAGCAGGGGTGCCATTTGTGGATGGAAAAGGGGTAGGTTCACAGCATCCAAGTTTTCCAAGGGGGTTAACACTTTATGCAAACATTTCAGTTTGATTTTATATTATGTTTATCACACCTACAACTTTGTTTATATCTCTTTTGAGTATGTTATGCTGTCAGTGAAATTAACCCAAAGCCACCAGGTATGGCATGTACGTACATGCCATTGTCCTTTGTGTGTGTTGAAATTAGTAATTGTTTTTACAAACAGATGGCTCCACAAGTACTGTCACCAATGAGACAATCATGTGAACTATGTCTGACCTGTTTACCCTTTTCCTTGATTTTCGATAATATTTTCTAATATTTAATACTGCTGTTAGTAATGTTAGTAACAATATAGTAATTCTGAAGTTTATAAAAAAAATAACAGTGGCAATATTGATAGCATTAGTAAAAAAAAGCGTTTTCCCACTTTTTCAAGGAAAAGTGATCTACTAATTGACTCCTTTGTGGCTAAGCATTGGCAGAACCATCCAAGTGCAAAAACATTTAGCCAAGCATTGCCAAAGGGAATGCACCATTTTCCCATCGACATTGGGTTAATTTACACGTTAAAAAAAGCAGTTAAAAACATCTCACATGAGACATCCAAAAATTGGTTGTGTTATTTACTTAGATGATAAAATGATATCATTTTCCTTGGAATTTATTGCTTATACTACACATACAACAAATTTAATATTCATTTTCAATGGAACTGGTATGACTGACACACATTAAAATACCACCTTCCATTGAGGTTGTTGAAGGGCCTGTCATATTTATGATGAAAATCAGGGTAAGCTAATGAATTTCCAATAACCAAATAAGGGCTTAATGTTGCATATACAAGAGATGATCTATTATGGCCTTAAAGGTCTGAAATCATTGAGCTGAGCTCCTTATTAGGAGCTGGGGTATGGGGCCTCACATATATGGCTTACTGCTAAACAGGGAAATATGAAATGAGATGGTAGTCATTCCATCCTCATTTAATTCCTTCAAAAGCAGTTGTAATATGTATATAAATACTGTTTTCTTCCAATTTAATGTAATATAATATGCCAAATCCCAACTTTACATTCATTCTGAACTATTTGGAAGTATAATGGTTAATATAAGATTTAAAATATCCTCCTTATTGGCTGCAGTGTTTATTTTTTTTGGTCTTAATTCCTATGAATTAAAGTAATGTTTTCAAGGGACTGTAGATAAAGAGAATATCCTAAAATCAGTCTTATCATGAAGGAAACTGAAGGGTATCAAATAAGATTTTTTCCCCATAGAATGGAGCTTTTACATTTTATTGCTGTTGAAATAATTCACAAAGAAGCACAGTAGTTTGACTAGAGCTAGGGAACCAATATAGCTAAATGTGTACTATTCAAATAGAAAAATAATAAGAATGAAAGAATGTACATCCTGTTTGTACCATTGTTAATGTATCATGTAGTAATAGCTATGATTTGGTATCCCGTATATGTAGCATTCAACTGACACCTTACATTAAGTGCTCAAACCACTCCTTACATTCATCATTACAAATTAATACTTGTATCTTCCAACACTTGTGATGTTTTATCTTTCATTAAATCTGCAGTAGAACCTTATTACAGCATGTTTCATACTTCCAAAACCTGAAATACTTGATGGGGGGGGGGGGGAGATACCTGATTAAGGGAAACTACGAGTCAGCACCATATCAACCATGTAGATAAGATTAAAGAAAGGGAAATTTTCCCCCCTAACACATAAAAAAAATCAATTACAACTCTTTACTCAATGCCCTTTGTTGAACTTTCTAAAACATTCATAATTACCTAAACATAATGCACTGTAAAATAGCATAATTAAGGTGCCTTCTAAACTATTTGATATAATTATGCTAACTGTTTTTAGGATTCAATGATATTCATATTTCCTGATCAACAGCAAAATAATGTTATATTAAACAAACAGAAATGGAAAGTAGATCAGTATACAGAAAAAAATCTGATGTTTCCACATTGGTTACCTTCTTTAATATCTCATCTTGCTTAAGTTATGTTTATTACCTATATATACTGTGATTTTGTTTGTTTCAACTGAATTTCTCAGATAATTCTTGCTTTTAAAAAAATATCACCCATGTCTTTACATAGCTGTGGTAAAGCAATCAAAAACCAAATTTTGTTTTGTAAAATTAGAAGAACAAATTTCTACTGCATTTACTTGATAACATGACAGTGTGATAACTCAAGTTGCTACTAATCCTCATTTCTGCCATTCTCTCTTCCAGTCATGGTGACTCATCATCTTAATAAATGCTATTAGAGAAATATGATAAAAGAAAATGTATTCAAGCTGAAAATTTAATAACATAAATAAAATAAGCTTGAATGCTCTGTTAACAATCAATTTTCCCAGTGAACTATTTCTACATATATGGACACTAACATGACCATTCTAACAAGAACAAAAAGACTTACCCTGCTTTAATTCAACCAAAAAATAACCTTAGTTATATCAGGCACATGCTTCTAGAGCCAAAGATATTTTACATTTTCAAGAGAGAAATCACCCATATCCGGTGCTTCATTGCCAAGTAATGTTGCTTCCATGCAAGATCAGAAACCATACAAGATTGCAATATCACCTGCTTTCATACAATCACTTATTCATTAATAATCCGGATCTTTCCTTCTTCCTCTTCCACTTGATTTCTGTAAAATACCCTTGGTGTTTGCTTTATTTTATGTAAATGCCTCTCATTGACTTTATCTAGGCTCTTTTATTATAATTTTTTTTACTGCTCTCTGCTTTTCTCTCCTCACTCTTTCCTACTCCCTTTTCTACTTTCACTCTTCCAGTCTCTCTTTAAATTAAGTTAAATCTCACTTCTTTTCAAATTGTAATTCCAACCCCATATTGATTTATCTTCAACCTGGAAGTGAAATAAAAATCAGATCCTTCTTTGAATTTGACCAAAGTAAAAATAATTTGATATATCTTGAAATAAAACCATATAACACATGAGAGAGAGAAAAAAAAAAAATTGTTGCTAATTTTGAATGCGGACTTCTGTTCATCAGTGCATGGGTTTGAGGCAGACATGTATGTCTGTACAATTAGTCAGGCTTTCGGGATTACATTGGTTACAGTATCAAAGACATAAACAGTAAACACTGAATCTTATTCTAAAGAAAAATTAAATAGAGTAAAATTACATCCTTTGGTTTAAGATACATGATGCTAAAGTTGCAAAAAAAACATATCAAATATGAATGTAGCTGCCACAAACTATACAGTATACACATTACATACCATATAAAGGAATGCTTTAATTTCCAATGTGTGAGTACTTCATCTGTTTCATTCATCAAAATGATTTTTTGTGGAACTTTTTTCCATTCTTTCTACAGACTGCAAAAGTTATAAACTTGTTACACTGTAATTCTTAATAAAGTTGCTGTTCTTTTAAAAACAAAAATCTTTGATTATTTATAATGTGACTGATACAAAGTGAAACTCCTTATTGCTTCAAATCCCAGAACTTTTGGCAATTGCTTAATAACCATTGCAAAAGATTCTGTAACCCTAATATCTGTTAAGTAGAAAAACTAGCAATTTTTATTTTTTCATGGACTAAAAAAGAAAGAAGAAAACCAAATTTGCCCAGATTGGACTTTACATGTAATAAATTTCCTAGATTATATAGTTACAAACAACCATGTGTAAACATGTAACATTAATTTCATATATGAGTAAAAACAATACTTTTAACAAAAAATTGTATATCAAACTTGACATCTTTACTCTCCTGTAATACCGCTATGTAGTAAAATGAATTGATTCACATCTTGATACATTTTTATTCATTTTTTAATTCTCTTCAAGTCCTCTTTTATCTTCCACTGCATAAGGTGCATACAGGTCACTGCATCCTCTGCACTGTCATGGCCAGACACTGAAAGAGTTGGGATTAATGAATTGCTGGATCTCATGAAAGCATTTTCCGGACAGAAAATTTTTAAAAATAAGGAATCTCTTGTAGTAAATATAGATATGATGGCATGGTCATTATAGATTAGGTTGCCATGAAAGATGGCCTAATAAGGTAACAGCCTAAGACAAGTTACACAGAGGTTTCCATAACTCTTGGTCTCATCTATCTATTATAATAGCTAATATCTAAATCTAAAATTAGTTCATATAAATAATATGAAAGTCCCAATAATTTCCGAAAATTAGAAGGCTGGCTATTTGAAGTGATTTAGCATGAGTCAAGTGACATGTGATATAGGGCAAGATAAAACATAAAGTAGTTGGAAAGGGTTTATGTCAAATCTAAATTTGATTTTGTATTGTATAAGTGTAACTTACATTTGCGTCTAGATACAATACAAAAGTAAATTCAAATTCTATTACTGCTCTTTGAAGACATGTTTACACTGAATAGCTTTTCAACCTATGCTGCAAATGCCTGGAAAGTTGTTCACTCAAATCCATACATCATTCAGCAAAACACATAAGGTCAACTAGAATTAATGAACACTTACCATCATTTTGGATAATTTTCTTTAGGATTTCTGAGGCTAGATTTCGAAGGGCACGCTTGTAGGGATGACCCATCTTATGGGGAAACACCACACTGGTATCCACTACGGTATCATGAATTAACTGTAAAGAATTTGAATAGAATAAATCAAAATTTTCATTACTAATCAATCTTAAGACATAGTTATAAAAATATATCTATAAATTTTCTCTTTGGTTCCTAAAGAAGTTGTTTCTCACAAATTCCTTGCACTTTAT